AAGACATGGTCGGCATTCCTGAAGACAAAACATGAATTGAACGAGGTTAAGGGCAATGTGGATGAAATACAGGTTAGTGTTAAAACACTCCAGTCGGAGAAAGAAGCGATGCAAATGAGCCTTCAAAGATGCAACGAGGAGTTTGGCGAGTTGAAACTATCGGAGAGAAAGCTTGAGGTGGAAAACATGTCTCTCAAGAAAGAAATGACTGAAATGGGACGGAAGCTGGAGAAAGTCAAAGAGAGTGCTGCTACTGAGAACAGGTCACTGAAGGAAGTTGTACAGGACATGCAGAGAAAGCTTGAGGCTTTAGAGGGGGAAGGAAGAAATACGCCAATACTGGTAATTACATGTTTTCTTTATAATTATATGTATACAAGATGATGCGTAATCTATGTTTGGATTGTCAACCCGACTGGGCAAGATTAAGGCCTGCTCGAGATTCCCCGTACCCTGGGTGCCAGAGGCTTTTTATGCGCGGTTTCCGGTTTCGGACAAGTCTTAAAAAGTAACCCGCGCGAAAAGCCTTTGGCCGAAGACGTGTCGGCCTACTGCCGACGAAGTTCCTCGTCAAACGCGAGAAAAAACCTCTGGTACCCAGGGTAGATTCCCCGCGTTAACCCATTAAAACCTAAGATCAAAATTTTAATTCTCAATTGTTGCCTCTGTTCATATATCTCAATCTCATATATATCAAGCAAATTCATCTTGTGTGATGATGTCAGTAATTCTTATGACCTCTCTTTTTACAAAGCATTGATATTGCAAGACGAAATTTGATACTGATCATTCTTAAGGTATAAATGGTTAACGAATATACAGTCGAACCTCCGCCACGTCTTTACAACAGCCATTTGTTTTTTTGGTCCCAGCGGACAAAATCTCCATCCATCCACTTTCTTCTGTCCCCAAGGTGTCCGTCGCAGCGAGCTTCAACTGTATAAGCTTTTATATTTTAATTCATTTTGGCTTTCCTCTTTTAAATGATCCTGTACCCACGAATTAAAACTCCTCAGTTATAACCACCCAGCACTGCTGTAAACATGGTTCACCAGTACCTTTCCCTTCGGTTCCCTTCGGGTGGCTAATAAGCACAAGCGTTTGAAAGTTATAATCATGGCCATAATAAGTTATGAATTTACCGTACATCATTTCCCCTTTTTCAAAGTATTCCTCTTACAAAAAGGAAAGCCCCAAAGCTGTGGCACAAGAAACTAAGAAAGAAGAGGTACGAACTTTTACGTATTTTAACAACTATCTCTTCATGCTGGGACAACTCAGTTTAAAGATTGAAAGCTTTCCGAAGCATTGTGGAAAACTCTTAAACCAAATGAATTCTTCCTACCACATGGCTTTCATCATTTGGAGGGGCCCTAGCTACCACGTTACCCTTCAAACGCCTCCAACGCAATCTACTGTAATTATAAGCGTTTCAGTGAAAGTTCTAATGAAGGTTTTTGTAAAATAAATACTTGTGCTTAGGAACGGACCGTTAGAAAACTTATGGGGGCCGAGGCGCAGTACAATATTCGTGCAATGGAAAATTAAATGAAAAAGCCATGCACGCCAAGCAAGCCTTAAACAGATATTCATGGACTGCCCTAAGAAAATTGTTAAGAAAAAAAAACCTCATACGACTCGAAAATTCCCCACTCCTCCATAACTGTTGTAATGGTTCCTCCCCTACGAATATCCGGTCTACACTATTTCTTGCCCCAGGGTCCCCGTTAACAATAAACAATTGGTGCATGAGACAATACGCCAAGAGTTCCTCGGCTGTTAAAGCATATTCTTTTTTTGTGTGTAGATATATTCTCTAAAAGCATGTGACAATTTGTATTTTGAGTGGCTTAACAAATATACAGTCGGGCCTCCGCCACTTCTCTGCAACAGCCCCTTTTCTTCGTCCTGACGGACAAAAGGTCCAACCAACTAGTTTCTTCTGACCTCAAATTAAGATGGCTGTTGTAGAGAGGTTCAACTGTATACTCTTTAATTCATTTTGGCTTTCCTGCTTTAAATAATCCTGTAGTCGGACTTAAAATTCCTCAGTTATAACCACCCTTTCAATTATAGTACCCAGCACAGCAGTACAATCTCCGTCGGGATTATCAGCCTCCCTACCAAAGGGGAGTCGAAGCGAAACAACAAGCTGTCGTACAAGAAACTAAGAAAAACCAGGTACGAACTTTTACGCATTTTAACTAACAACTATCTCTTCATGCTGGTTCAGCATTGAAAACTTTCGGATGCATTGTGGAAAAATCTTGAACCACATAAATTCTTCCTACCTCATGGCTTTCATAATTTGGTGGGGCCCTATCCGCGCGTTACCCTTCAAACGCCTCCCACCTAATTTACTGTACAGTTATAAGCGTTTCAGTGACAGTTCTAATAAAGGTTTTTTTAAAATAAATACTTTCGCTTAGGGACAGACCATTAGAAAACTTAAAAAATGTTACTACTAAACTATCGGTTGTCTGTAAGGAGATATATATTATCCGACGTCAGGCAAAAACAGTGGCGTGGTGGTTCAGGTGTTTCTGTCGTTTCTGGTAGCACCAAAGCCTGAGAATGCGTGTACCTCAGTGCCAACCGTTTTTTGATAGAATGAGAAAATGGAATTCAAATTTCATTTTTATTTTTCGTTTTTCTTCGGCCAATTTTTCGTTTTTCATTTACCCGTGACATTGAAAAACGGATTGGATTTTTGTATGTTTTCGCCACACTTTGAAAAACTGATTTGAATTTTAGATTTTGTTTTTCGTTTTCGCCTCACTTTGAAAAAGAGATTTGAATTTCGGTTTTCGTATTTCGTTTTTCGCCTCACTTTGAAAAACGGAATTGACTTTCCTTTTTCGTTTTCGCATCACTTTGAAAAACGTATGGCATCCCAATGCGTGTACCTTAGTGCCAACCGTTTTTCGATGGCATAAACAAATGGAATTCAAATTTCATTTTTATTTTTCGTATTTCTTCGGCCTTGTAAAATGGAATTCCATTTCCATTTCTATTTTTCGTTTTTCGTCGGCTTGTGACATTGAAAAACGGATTTGAATTTTGTTTTTCGTTTTCGCCGCACTTTGAAAAGGGGATTTGAATTTCGGTTTTTGTTTTTCGTTTTCTCATCACTTTGAAAAACGGATTTGAATTTCGTTTTTCGTGTTTCGTTTTCGCATCACTTTGAAAAACGGATTTCAATTTCGTTTTTCGTATTTGCACTGCTTGTTATCATCCACTCACTCTCACTGAAAAACAGATTGGAGTTTTTTGCATGAATTTGAAAAGTGGATTAATACACCAGTCATTTGAAACTCCACCCCCCCTCCCCCCCTAAGGGGATGACCGGGGTAATCATAGTCACTCAATCACCCCATTTTTATTCCCCGGTAGGTGGGGGATACGCTAGAAATCCCGGTCTTTGTCTCCCTGACCGGGGAATAAGCAGGGCAGTCACTCTGTGGTAAGCGTTTCCATTTTCGCAACGCGTAGTAATTTTGCATACGTTTTTGTCGCTTCTCGCAGCTGAAGAAATACATGTATGCTTTGTAAAGTGTCTTTTGACGCTGCTTACATAAGACAAGTCTTAAATAAGACACAAACTGTACCATTTATACGAGCATATAAGGAGTGTCTTAGCTGAGTCCCGTTTTATTCAAGTCTTGAACACAATTTTTGTGCCACTTATAGGAGAAGTTAACTAGACGCGTCTTATTTTTCCCCGTTCAAGTGGCCCAATTGTTTAATACCTTATGATGTTGTAATTTGTTATATCCTGGAAATGACGACAAGAAAGACACTGCAATGATTGAGTCATTCTACAAAAACTCCAGAAGACTGTGAAACTTGATTTGTAATTTTTTGTTATCTCGCATTTTGTGACTTCAAGTTGTAAAGTGTTCAAACGTTCGTCATTTTCCTTCTCCTTCGAGGATATGTAAGTGTTGCCGCTGCGTGTTTTTTCGCGGCTATCATCATAGCGGAGCTCTGGCGCGCGAAGCGCGCCTGCGGAGCACCATGGGTAAGTAAATCTACCCATCCCAGAAAATTTGGTAATCACGTGACCGTACACCGCCCGCCCGCCCGTCCGTCCGCACCACAGGGTAACCAGTGTTTAATCCTCACACTTTCTTGCTAGTTTGGGAGTACAGGAAGACTGATACTGACAGGCATTCATCCCCTCCTGTTTATGCTTAGCCACAAGATGCTCGGTAACTTTTCGGCAACTTTGAGATTTGGGGTAGCTTTTGAGGGGATTTTCGGCAAGTATTAAAATTCTCGGCAACTTTTGATTTTTTTAGCATTTTTGAAATTGTTTTTTACTTTTTTCGTTTATGCTACTGTGTGTGTGTGTTGCAGGGGGGGAATGCGTGTACCTTAGGGCCAACCGTTCTTCGATGGCATGGGAGAAAGGAATTCAAGTGCCATATCCATTTTTCGTTTTCGCATGGCATTGAAAAACAGATTTGAATTTTTCTTTTTGTTTTTCGTTTTCGCCTAACTTTGAAAAACGGTTTTGAACTTCGTATTCCGTTTTTCGTTTTCAATATCAGTTTTCGTTTTTCGTTTTCGCATCAGTTTGAAAAACGGATATGAATTTCGTTTTTCGTTTTTCGTTTTCGCATTACTTTGAAAAACGGATTTGAATTTTTCGTTTTCTCATCACTTTGAAAAACAGATCTGAATTTCGTTTGTCATTTTGGCATGACTTTGAAAAACGGATCACTGCACCAGTTCAGTCATTTGAAGCCCCGGCCACCCCTCGGGGTTGACCGGGCCATTCACTTTTTATGTAACTAAAAGTAAGTGAATTTTCCCCTCTCCGGGGCCAAAGTGAGTAGTAAATTTCCCCCCCCCCCCCCCCCCTCATTTTTTATCCACCACCCACACCCCCTTTTTTTACATTATTGTACAAAAAAAATAATAAAAAAATTACTATAACTAAAAAAAAAATCCCACTACAATTATAC